AGCGGGCGAGGTCGACTGCCTCATATAGATATCGATCGAACAAAGGTACTAGTAAAATACGTATTAATTACTTCAAGGATATACAATAAGTACATACGTAAATGTCTTCCGGTTGTTTAAAACGACATAATTTGCACAGAAATGTCACAAAAAGGTATAACGTCTACAACTTTAAACATATTGGGATTACCAAATATGTTGAAAGGCAGTGAACTATATTCTAGTAAATCGCTTATTAATCGATAATGGCATCAAAAAATATAGATACAATTATGCAAAATCGAGAGCATTCATTGTGATCTTGTAATCTATGGATCTACTTTTATATCAAGGTTAACCATAGACATAAACAAAAGAATCGTAAAGTATTGTTTACCGTCATTATATACACTCGAACTTGGATAAGCGAGAAATCTTCATTAGCGAAAAACTCGGAAAAGAAACCTGCTTAAGTGAGAAAATTCTCACTTATACCGGTTCGACTGTATTTACCAAATACGCTTCATAAGTTTGCCCGTGGACGCCACTAAAACTAAAAGCCGGCTGTCTCTGGTATAGACGAAGTGGATATCAGTAATCGAATCTCAAACAGAGCTTGGCGTTTGCCGGACGCTGTTTAGACGCTGCGGCGGCGGCGGGCCCGGCGACGGATGGACAAAGAGACAAACGAAATTAATTGGGGTCATGCGCCGCCGGCGTAATCTAATCGCGGAGCCATATCCTACGGGCCTTTTACGCGAACCCAATGTAAGGAAACTTGCTCCAACTTCGATATCGCACATAAATTGCACGCACGAGCTTTGCATGATTATAAACAAACATTCAGCAATGACGGTTAGAATCGAGGATTAGTTGTTATAATAGAATTTATAGCTAAATTATGTATTTTATAAAGCGAAATAAATTATAATCAATGAAAGGCAACTTTTAAGATCAAAAATATGAAATAAGTTCATCCTCGATATATTTAAATTACATATAATTAAGTTTTAATTTATTATGAATTGAGGATCAAATGAAAAAGCGAGATTTTTAATAAATTTCAGTGGATCTAAACCGCAGTGAGAGAAAAGTATGTTTGAAATTATTTTAAAAGAGTCGTGTGAATGAAATGTGACGATAATATCGCGCGAAATATTTATTGTGAAGCGTCAAAAAGTATTTTATTAAAGCACGTGTCCAGGGCGGGCGGGCTCCAATTTGGGCGCTCGTTAAGGCGCAAAAGACGCGCAGTTTAATTGCAACCGCTCGCCTCTAATGAGGCCCTGTGTCCCAGCTCGAACGTTTCTCTTGTGCAAATTGACATTGTACGTGAATTGATGTCGCCATACTCGCCCGAATACCAAAGCCTTGTGCGATGCGATGCGATATCGTTTTAAACGATTTAGCTCGCTATCTAGCTATTATCTCTCTTTACGAGTTGTGTTCATAAGAATATTTTATCGGGAACTAAACATCTACAATCTGCATCATATAAAAAAATTATAAATATTGCCAATTGTTTATTTTTTACATATTTCATTATTATATTTAATTTAATTTTCCATAGTAATTTGTAGAATATTCGCTAGTGACAACTAACAATACAAACTGAATACTCTATGCTTACTAGGAATTCAGATATTGCATTCCCAACGCTAATTGCTTTTCAATGTAGGACTTATTTAATGATTTGAAATTAGAAATGTCTAACTCAATATTCCAGTTATAGATCAACCAGAGAGCCAGACGAAAACAAACCTTATTTTATTAGAAATATAATACACTTTTCTTCGTTTTCTACTTTAAATAAACGTATTATTCCAACAACTCTTTTATTAATAAAGTTCGTCATATGTAATTCATATTATGTGTGTGCTAAATTGTTACTACATTTTAATATTACTTCATATTCTTGTTTACATCATTAAGTTTTCTTATCTATCGTTATCGACATTTGCATCAAACAAAAATATAAAAAAACATCGTAATTATTCACAAATTACAAACGTCTCTTATGACGAGGAAAAAAAATTTAAACTATAACTAGTTGCAAATGTGCGGACGGGAGTTGCGAGGTAAGTCGGCGTTAGATCGTAGCAAGAAGTTGGTTTCGGAGGCGGGTCGTTAGCGGCGCGGCTGATTGCCGATTGAGCAGCAATTGCCTTGATTGACGCCGCGCGCACCCCGCGCACCCCTCAGCGACCTAACGAACCCGCTTCAATGCCTGGACGTGCCCGAGGTTGTTACATCCGAACGGTAATGTCGGACACCTCACAAATACTACATATGAATATATTACTTTGTTAAGCGAAGAAAAGTCACCATATGAAATGATAAACCATACCAATATTTTGAATCCCAATTTATCCCAAAAAATTATTTATTAATTATGATAAACCTAGATTGTGCTGTAAATACTCCACCTCGAAGTCGACTGGAAAACTTCGATCCTGTAGTACGATTGAATCCTGAACAATACGTGCTAATAATTGTCTTTTTTTAACTTTTACGTTATCCAAATAACCAATATTGTTTTATCTTTCATCGCTTGACTGTACTTACGTAGATTATTGAAAACATGGTAACCCTTGTTGCGTGCTCGATCTAATTTGTAGCAATAGGATATTTTAATTGTTTTCTATAGGCAATTTAGACACGATGCGTAACTAACTTTACTGTTGTATGATTATAGTCTTTAGTTTCATTAATTGTTGCGTAAAATATATAGTAAGTAGTTGAAATAAAATGCAGCATACAAATATTTGGACTTTACATTAAAATAATATAAATAACATTAAAATTAGTAGTAAGTTATCAATATTGCGTAAAATCTCGAAAATTTAGTTTAAATTTGATAAAAGTGTAAGTAGGATTATGAAAGAAAATAAGTAAAGACTATATACTATCAGACATCTACGTGTATATTATTTACTTGGTCAGAATCAGTCCATGTCCGAGCTCCGTAGATGTGCTACGTGCTACGAGTTTTCTGATTGCCAGTTGACTCGAATAATTTGATTCGATTGACGTCGACGAAGCTCCACGGATCCGGTTCGTTTGTAGGCGCACAACATTCTTACATTGTTTCGTACGTGTCTCGCAATATACAGAACACACATTCTTCAAACAAAGCTGTATTACATCATTAAAAGGATATAAGTTAAATTCTGTTAATGTAGGCTATAAATCATAATAAGATTTTAATAAAGCTAAATATTTGCGTAATGTTTCAACGCCTACAACTCCTTATAGGAGTCGGAAGGTTGTTTATAATTTCATACGCATACAGCAATCAGCAACACGAGGCGTCAACGGCGTCTTTACGCAGACAGACCGCAATCCATCACATCGAGACAAAAGGCGAGAAGCGCGGCGGCGGTTATTTGCGTGAGAAAGCGCTAATTTCGTTAAGGAGTCTGAATCGGGGAAGACGTGTAAGTAAAGGCGTCGGAGCGGTCGGGGCGGCCGCCGCGGGAGCGATTCGAGCGAATTACCGTAATACCGCACCTGAAGGCGCGGGGGCCGACTCGTTAGTTGTTGTTTGCCGAGTGACGCGGGTCAATCAGCAGAGACATGCACGGAACCGCACTTCTTCATCCCCCACGCGTCCCCCGGCACTCCCCGCCTCCGCCCCGCAGCCCGCGCCGCTCGTTAGGCCGCGCCGTCTCTGTCAACTGAGAGACGAGCTTTATCGAATCTACGACGCACGAGCCGCGCCGCGGTCGGCCCACTCTTCGCTCCTAGTTTGGCGCAAGACCACCGGTAAACAAGGGAAATCAGTGTAAAACGAATTTATATTTCCTTTATGAACGACAAATAGAGGGATCAAAGGCACTTTAAAGGATATGTTGATTGTGTCAACATTAATTAGCAGTTCGGAACCACATTGTAAAATAGTTGTATAGGACAAAAATAATTATGTGAAAATACACGATGGCAATGGTAGATCGCATCCCAAAGTGGGGTTTGAGAATTCAGATAATTGGGTAGAGAATTCCTTTCGTCTGACTAATTAACACGAAGGGGCTCGCCAGCCAGCTGTGCTTCACGTGCTTAGATATTCTCGTTTCACTACATATCATTTTTACAAAAATTTGGCCTAGAAGAAAAGTGCAGGTCGAAGTTTTTCTAATTCTATAATATCCTATGTTAATTTACATTCAATTACAGAATTTTAATCACACGTTTGAACATTTATAAGTACAAATTTTAATTACTTTCCTCAATTTCAAAATCTTAAATAAAAAAGTATATAGGAGGTGAGAACCATTTAGTCTTTAATATTGATTTAAATGGATATAAGGCAGAAATTCTGTTCACTTATTGTAAAATGTGAAATATGCGATATATTATTCAGAGATGTTATCGTTGTTTTTTCGGTGAAACTAATGCGTCGTGAAGCGATTTAATGAATACAGCGGCGGTAGGTAGACGGTACAGCTATACGGAACGGTTAATTAGTGGCAGAATGAAGTAAAAACTTTGCTGGCGACGTCCTAAATTAGTCCTTAGCGTTTTTAACGAATCCAATTTAGAGAGGCCGAGAGACGCCGTCGATCGGCCGCCGCGTGCAAAACTGTTACTTTTTGCCCCATTCTCAGGTAGAAAATACAACCGTTCGAGGCATTTTCATAACAATGCGCCCGCGGCTTTCTCGGTATACTTTTTTCGGTGTTCGAAACGTTTGACAGACACGCTATTGTCATCGTTAGATGACGAACTAAAAACCGAACCTTTTATAGATAATCAAAGTCTGAGATCGAACGTGATTCGAACTGAATACTGAGTCGAAGTGGACGCTAATTAACAATTTTTAACGAGGTCGAAACGTTTATCCTATTAAGGTCACTAAATCAACTTTAGTAAAAAACATTTGAAAGTTTAACTTCGTATGATTTTAAGAGTTGCTTATTAAACTCGATTAACCAATTAAATATTTATATCATTGAATACCTATCAACATAATATAATTAATTTATAACACTGAATACCTTTAAGGTATAACTTGATTGACATACCTTGTGTAGTCGTTTTTGCATAGTATCATGCCGCCTTTGAAGTAGAAGGAGCGACCCATGTCCGCAAGCGCCTGTCCGCAGCATGTGCACTTGAGGCAGCCGTGGTGCCAGTACCGGTCGAGCGCGTGCAACAGGAAACGCTCGACGATCTTGCCGCCGCAGCCGGCGCACTCCTTGAGCGCGGGGTTGTTGTTGTTGTGCGGATAGTCGTGCCCGTTGGCGGCGAAGGCGGCCTCGGGCGAGGGCGGGTGCGGCGAGCTCAGCTCCCCGTACCCGTGGTAGTGCGGGTTCATGCTCAGCGCGCTCGCTGCCAGCTTGACGGTTGGGGCGGCGACCGCTCGCCGACACCACCACAACTACACGCCCTGCACACAAAACAATACCACTTATAGAACATCCCCTACCATTAGTGTTGACTGAGTTGAGCACTTTCAAAATGGAAATGAAAATGATATAACAACAGTGGGATAATTAAAAACATAAGTGAAGGCAATTTAGTCGCGTCGACGCCCAACGAAACAGTTTTCATTAAACTTTTTACGGCGAGGGGACGAAAGATTTGGCACTCAATTTCCCCGACACAAATAATAATAGCATTGACGGGCATAGAAAATTTTCTCCAAACAGGTTGACCCTTTGAATTAATTTTTCTTCACGGCCTTTCGGGCAGCGGAGCAGCGTAGGCCTGCGGGCGGCCGCGTTTATAAAATTTTCCAATTAGCAATTTCATACAATTAGAAGCGGGGCAAGAGTGTCGGGGTAAGCGGGGCGCTGGGCGCGGAGCGCGGGGTGCGGAGTGCGTCAACCCGATCCAATTAGCTCGCGGCCGGCGGAGCGGCGGGACGCCGTCTGAGCGGCCCTGTCGCCATAAAACTTAATTAAACGTTTTAAAACAAGTATTCATTAAAGAATAATCAAGCTTATGTAGTCATAAATAACCGGATTGTCCCGCGCGGAACGGGTGCCGTAATTAAGACTGCACAGAGTTGATCAAACGCACTGATTTGAAACTACCCTTCATTAAGAGAACGCGAGGCGGGCTCGGGAGCTTCCGCTGCGGTGCAGAAACTAATTAAGAATAACGGACGCTTTAAAAGCGTAATTAATTTAGATTGTAATTCTATTTCTCTGGGACTAACGTAGACAATTATTTTGGTAGCCCTTTCTTTTGCAAAGATTCGGTTTACTAAACGTAATGACTTAAACTGGTTCGTCCAAGGAAATGAGCACTTAAACGTTTATAGCGTTCGTTTGAATTCAGACCATGTAATATTAAGACGCTTCCACTAAGAAGTAAGGGCAGGTATTCATAACCGCTGTCAGTGGTGGCAAGGCATATCAATTGGGAGTCGTAGAACTGAGCGTTTGAGAGTTGCGAGCGTGTGGAAAGCGATTACAGGTCGGCGGGCGAGCCTAATGAAGGCAATAAGGGCCAGGTATTGGTGGCGTGTAGAACACCCCGCGGCCGTGTTGCGTGTCTACTAATGAGCGAGCAGTCGCGTGCGCAACTATCTCGCTTCGTTAAATCGCTCCGAGTACCGATTTACGGTAGTCGTATTAATGTCTTTGTTTTGTTAATTTTGCGAACACGTGTCAGACATTCAAAATACGAAGCAGGTAGCTAAGATTGCTATCTTAGCCCCAGGCCGAGTTAAAATGCAGCTTGAATTAAGTTTGATCCGTTAATTTTGAATGGAACTCACTTTGTTTATTTTTAAGTGACTCATGATGTCAGTCAGTTTATGGGAAGTTTTTGTTTTATTTATACAAACATAACCTATAGCTATAACCTTCGTGGTACAAAGAATTGATATTTGGTCGATGTAAATGCTTCATAAAAAAGAATAAATAGTATAAAGAAAACAAAGTGCTTGTAATATTGGATTGCTTCACCAATTAATACAATATTAAGTAGGTTTAGTGGTTGCAAATTTACATTAATTTTATTTGACTCTCGTTGCTTTGCTCTTCATCCTTACATGCCGAAAATGCTATTTATTTAAATAGGATACTTAAAATAAGCTACTTAACTTTAACTTAAAGTAAGAATAAGTGAATGGTAAATAAATGGCGCGTAACTAAAAACAATAATAATATGAATGTAGCAAATTGTTATTACTCGTGTCAAAGGTAACGCGGTGCGTGTCGACTGCCGCCCGACTGGGGTGAGCTGGGAACCTAGCAGGTGCCGTTTTCATTATTCAAGCTCCATTGATTGGATACTTTGTTGCCGTTTAAAAACCTTATTAGCAACCGGCAATAGCGACTCAACCTGCCCTTATTTACCTGGTAAGTGATTTCTTTTTTCAATTACAACGATGAGCGGCACATTCGAATATCTAAGAAGGTAAAACTGTAAGTCATCTTGTTAGTGGAACGTTTTATTTCCGCGCTTTTCCACGACGCTCGGTTCGTTAGGGACTACTTCGATGAGTTTACATATTTTCATAGAGCTCCGTTCGTTTTCAAATACTCTATTATACGAAGCAGCGGTGTACGCCTTTATTTGTGTTTTCTCAATAAGTATTGATACGACACTATTATAATGTTTGCATTCAATCACATGTTTGAGTAGGGACTTAAGCATTTTATTGATTAAGGGTTCATTACCAACAATTTTATTCAATTTAATAAAGTTATGGATTATGAATACATAAAATCAGTTTCATTTGTTTCAACAAATTACTTCAACGGTCTTATAAGTACATTATATTAATAAATGAGTAATAACAAAATTAATGATTATTAATAAATAATACTAAGAAATTGTTGTTTCCGACATTCAAGCCAAGGTTAGTATATTCGATGTCAGTTTACACAGCATGTACATCGGGTGATCCAGTGTTCCTAATATTAAGCTTAACAACGTAAACTGGCCACAACAAAAGCAACGACACGTATCGGTCACCCGGTCTCGGGTTCCATTGCACGGGGACTTCCCGGCGCCCGCCCGCCGCGAATAACGTAATTAAGGCGAAACCGCCGGCGAAATTAAACGCGAAAACGGAATGAGAATGTGAGCCTAATTAGAGCCGGGACGGGGGGTAGACGTTGCACCGCCACCCCAACGCCGCACATTCCCCTCAGGCCCCGCACCCCGCTAACTCCTGCATAGAGTTAGGGGAATCAGAACATCATCCCGTCTTAAGAGTCACGTTGCGCGGACCTTATTGCATTTACATACGGAATTACATTGTTGGCTTTAAAATACATTTCTTCCATATAATGAACAATTTAATTCATAATAATGTAAATATTTTTTACCCAATTCAACTTATAACAAACACAACGTTACTCTATGTTTCTCGTTAGCAACTATGAAAAATAAATCACTTTTCTGTTTAGAATACAAATGGAACGGAGTGCACAATTTTAGTTCAGTGGTACTTAATACGTGGGGTGAGTCTAGCTTAAGTACTAAAGATGTCGTACACTAATTAAACGTAACATATCCAATGTCCGTGTAATTTCAAGAGAATGTAATTTCAAATTGTTATTTCAAGACAAATTAATTTAGAAACGGGTTATATAGCTCATACACAGTTGTATAGTTAGGTGCTGTTACCAAGTTACGTCATATATTCACTATTCGAAAACCGATGCTTTGCGAACCCAAAAATAAAACCGTACCGGCCGCCGCGCCGGCTGCATGGACCCAATTCGTTTTCTCTCACATTCATACTAATTAAAAAACTGCGGACAAATTGGAGCCCACTCTCGCCCACGGGACATAAAACATCCATTCGATTGACGGCTCGCGTTCCCTTGATTAATTTTATCCGTACGATTGCGATTTTAACTTTTTCATTACTTAATTGTCGAGCTTCATTAAGTAAGATTTGCTTTATTGGACGATAATATTGATGTCCGAAAACGAGATGAGTGTGTACTCTCAATTCTGAATTGTGTGTCGAATGGTCAAGTACTTTACTATTGATGTTCGATTTGGAGTTTTAATTTAAAAAAAACACTTGTCCTTGGATACTAATTGCTTAGTAAATATAAATTTTGCTATAACGTTTGTTTGATAAATTACAAGCATAGAAACTATTTACTACTAGACTTTAACGGTATTCGATTTTAATATATAAAATCATCATAACATAGTAATGGAGGTTAAAATATATAAATATAATTTAAACTAGTATAATTTCCCGTTACCAGAGTAAGTGAGTAATGACATTGATTATACATCCATCATTTCGTCTTTCGATAGTCGTATCATTAGGATGTTAATATAAAAAGTTCATTTTTGTGATGTTATAATAAATTTATAAGCTTGTTATTTTAATATTTCTTATATTTTATACAAATACATTTTCATTACTATGTTTATAGACGGCGTAATAAGAAATTTGTAAAGATTACCTATACGTAAATGACGTGCTCTGAATTTTTTTTGCAAGATATTAGAATTTTATTTTGCTGGGTTACACTTTTTCCCATATATTTTCCCATAGTGGTTATAAATTTTAAGAATATTTTTATAATTTTCCCAAATATATTGACTGATGGTAAGCGAGGAATCATTCAATTTCCATTGTTACTTGGAGGATTAAGACAGTGGGTATTTGTAATTAATTATTAAAATATGTTTATGAATTTATTAGAAGTTGAATATATTATAAATGAGTTGTAACAGTTCCCAAACGTGGCTAATGTGTAATATTATTTGCATATAATGACCGCTAATGGCCTCGGCGCATTATTCATCGGACGTGACCTCAAAATTGCCGCAAGAACCGTTCGATGGTTACAAAGTTTTGTGCAAAATATTATTTTATATTAATATCATAAGTTTGTAAATAGTGTAAATTAGTTATTTGATTGAAATGCTTAGAGTATTCTGTCTTTTTAGGCAATATATACACAAAAACTTGTATTGTCTTAAAAAAAATATTTTCTTTCTTCAATGAAGACAGGAAGCTTCAAAAAGATATTTTATCTTTTTGCGCTAAATACAATCCTTATCAAGTGGCAGGATGTATCTCATTAGCTATTTTAATAATTCAATATTTAAATTGTTAATCTTTAATACGGTCTAATATGTTCGATACTCATTTAAAAATTTGCCAAAAAAAGCTGCCCACGCCGAAGACAAACAAGTGTGTTGAAAGGATAACGTTATTTAATCAACAGCTATTACCTGCGTCTTCGTCCTCGCGGATTTTAAAGAAAAGTAGCCTATGTGTTCTTTCAAACTCTTTCTCTGCCTAGCATGCATCTCTCAAAGTGGTTGGGTCAGCTTTCCCAATCTTTCTGTAACCTATCCATCTTACATCCAGAAGATTTGGCAAATTTATAACTGCGGTGCCGATTGCCATGCCGGTGTTCTTTTAGACTATGATCTATAATGTGTCAGATT